GCAAAAAATATTAACATGTATATCTCAAAAGAGGAAACTCAAATGGCTGAAAAGCATGTGAAAAAGATGTTCAACCTCTTTAGTAATCAGGAAAATGGAAATTAAAACCACAAGGAATGCCATTATGTACCTATCAAATTGGAGGAAAGTTCAATAACGGCAAGTGTTAGTGAGACCTGAAATAAGTGCAGCCTTCCTCACCCTCAGTGAGAATGCACATCGGAATAACTACCTGAGAACATAATGTGACGTCTTGTGCAGCTGAAGGAGAGGATCCCCTCTGACCAGCAATTCCAACCCAAGGTATACGCCCTAATGAAACTATGCAAATGCCCGCAAGAGACATGTTCAAGACTATTCATGGCATTATTATTCATAATGGCAAAAAAAGGCAACAATTTAAACATCTTTTCATAGAGGAAAACAGATAAATGCTGGCATTTTCATACAATAGTATGAATCGTATACAACAGTGAAGTAGTGAATGTTGAGTGAAAAAAGAAAAGTACATCATCTATCTAAAAGTCAAAAGCACAAAATTAAGTAATACATGGTTTACAGATCCATACATATGTAGTATATATGGGTTGCAAGAGAATATTAAACACATAATTCAAAAAAGTGGTTCCCTTGGAAGGAAGAGAGAGGGAAACTAGTAGGAAAGTTTCCCAAGGCATTAATAATGTCCTTTTTCTTAAGCCGGATGGTGAATAAACACGTTTGTTTCATTAATCCTGGTATCTTACAGATACTCATTATATTTATCCTTTCTATATATAGAATATATCATTAATGAGCCCACTGCACATAAAAATAAAGACTTAGTAAGCTGAAGAACAGAAATAAAGAAATTACTGACCACATAAAACCAACGGACAACCTTAACGTTGGAAGATATTAATGAAAAAGAAATATGCAGATCAAGTCAAACCAAACAACGCAGCAGCAGCAAATGAGAAGTCAGGCAGATTACGAAAAAGAAGAGTGCCAAGGAGAACAAGCCTGACCAGATACTCAAGGCCACAACAATTAAAGTCACTGGTGGTGGTGTAGGAGTCCCAGATAGCACTGGGGAGAGTGGAAGAGTGAGAAGCAACTCATCAAGCGTGTGCTAACAGTGGCATTTCAGGCAGGAGGACTAATCTCTGGGTTGGTATGGGGCAGCTCTCCAGGAGCATCTTTCCTCCAAAAGGCAAGAAGTTAGAAAGACATTCAGAAAATAGAAAAGAAGGAGAACCTCAAAAAATACTATTTATTCATTTACTCATTCATTCAAATAATATGTACTGAGCATCCACTGTGAACAATTTGGGTGGCAGTACATAAGAGAGTCTAGCTAGTTAGAAAGGAGAAAGCAGATAAATAATTACATTTATAATTTATTAAAACTGGGATCAGCTGGTATCTGAAGGATACGCAGGAGTTAGCTGGCTTGAGGGGTGGGAAGGTTCAGCATTCTGAGCAGAGGGAAAAGCATGTCCAAGGCCTGAGTGGGGAAGAAGCAGGGCAGCTACTCCAGAAAGAAGGCCAGTGTGTACAGCCCAGAAACACAAGTCAATTGGTCCAAGAAAGGGAAAGAGGTAGGCCGTCAGAGCTTTACCAAACGTGAAGGCCATATCTGGAATTTATTTTAAAATATGAAGCAACACCAGAGGATTTTAAGCTAAAGCATTGTACAGTTAGATTTATTTTTATACAGAACAAGACGAAAAATGGATTGGAGAAGGAGATATGTGAACACAGGGAGACCAGTCAAGACACTACTGAAAACATGAGTGAGAGACATCCTCACTGGAAAGGAGACAGCGACAGTGGAGACCAAGAGACGGAGACACACTAAAAAGATATTTAGGTGCTGGAACACAAAGAACTCAATATTAGATCAAATGTGAAAGCGAGGGATGGAAGGTAATTTAGATCAGGAGTTCTCAACTTTTCATGGCAACTGAGACACTTGTTAAAAATGTAAGTTCCTGGGCCCACACTCAGAGATGCTGGAACCTGAATTTTAAACCAGTAGCCCTGGTTAATTCAGACACTGATGGACCTCCCACCACATTTTGGGATGCACTGATTTAGAGGACTCCCAAACTTCTGGCTTACATAAGAGAGTGAGTGAGGTTGGGATGGGGGCACCATTTATGGGAAAAGTGAAAGAGAGGGAAATGGAAGCTAGTGAGGGTGGGTCACGAACTCCTCACAACCCTGTAGGGGCAGATGCACAAAGACGAACCATGTCTGTGGGGCGAATGTGACATCTAGTGTTTGGATTATTTCTGTACGGCTGCCTAAATGGTCTTTCTGGGGGAAGCAGCTCATCAGTTAAGTGTCATATTGGCCTTGTAAACACGATTGATTTAGAACGCTGGGAGGCTGAGACTTCCAAGCACGTCAGAAGCATATGCTCATCTTGATGCTGGCCCTGGCTGCCTCTATGAGGATACCCCTACCCTTCCTCCTACATCATTCCACCCCAGCTGTGCTGACTTTTGTCCCTCTGACACCAACTTGGCTTGTGCCCTCACTATATTCAGGTCTTTGCTAAACTATATAAAATAGTAACTTTTGAGGCCAGCCCCGTGGTCGAGTGGTTAAGTTGGTGCACTCCACTTTGGCGGCCCAGGGTTTCGCCGGTTCAAATCCTAGGTGTGGACGTGGCACCGCTCATCAGGCCATGCTGAGGCAGCATCCCACATGCCACAACTAGAAGGACCCACAACTAAAAATACACAACTATGTAGCAGGGGCTTTGGGGAGAAAAAGGAAAAATAAAATCTTAAAAAAAAATAGTAACTTTCCTTTTTAAAAACTTTTATTGATAGATTTTTTGAGAGCAGTTTTAGGTTCATGGCAAAATTGAGCAGAAGGTATAGACATGGGTGCTGGGTGTGCTCATTGCTGCTGGAGTGTCACTGCTGCTAGGCCCTCTTGGCTGACAGAGCCAGAAGACAGGTGTGTGTACACTGGCACGAATTTACACACACATCTATGAACAGTTCAGATGCAGCCACCTGTGTGTATGCTAAGCTCAGCGTGAGTTCACACTGACGTCTCCAGTCTGACCTCTCCCCACATGGATCGATCCCTCTGCCTCCCCTTGCTCATCTGTAACTTCCGTCCACCATTGAGACACCTGGCTCCCCACCGGCCACAGTCGCATGACCGCCTTGTCCAGCACACCTCACAGTGGAGTCAGAAGTGCTCATTCATTTGTATCCCTTGACATGTAACATTCTGCAGCACTCGATACATGTTTACTCTCTGTTTTCCTCCCCCATGACAACAGGGACTTGGACTGCTGAGTCCCCAGCATCTAAAACTGCCCAGATCAAAGTAGGTGCTCAATAAATTTTAGCTGAATGAATAAATGAATGAAAACATTCATGCTTATTACCATAATTAAGCAGGTCTCAGTCAGATCTTTCCTAGCCAGCACTACATTATTCAGCTTTGAGATACTGTATCTACTTCAATCAAATTATAATCATACAGTATATTTAGACTTTTTACCAATCTAATTAACTTCTCTCCCCAATTGCTACAATTGTTACCACCCAACTGAGACAGTGACCCATCACAATCACTTCCATTTTCTACTTTCCCTCCAAGGCCTGACTGAAACCACCCTCTCCCACTTCCATCCTCGCCACCTAAACATCCTGGACACCTCACATAAATTCCTAGACACTTCTGATTCTGTGGTTCTAGCTATCTATTGATAAATGTTCTTTTCACATTTGTTAGGAGCATGAACAACATAATCACTATCCTAAGTTCAAATCACAGAGTTAAGTGAGGAATTATATAAAAATTAAGCTGTTGATTTTAAACCATTCTTGCAAAAGAACTGTGAGGGCATGTAAAATAATGTTTTAAAAAAGTACACAGATATGCTCTCTTTCCTTAGTGCGCAAGCCTGAGGCTTAAGAACAAAGACTAATAGAAAACATATGAAAAAGATCAGTAACAAGATGAAATCTTGGCCCAAATATGCTCTGCCACGTTTTACATACCAGTGTCTCAAATACTAGATGAGATTTTTACGATACTGCCAAAGCATCACTTGAAATACTGTATACTTTTAAAAAATCTAAAGTATAACAAAATAAATCTTGTGAATTCTTTGTAAAAACCTAATGGGAAACACTATTTTGAGGAAACAAAAACAAAATTCCAGGATTCACTTTACCTTATTAGTTTGCACAAGCTTGAAAGACTCTCGCAAAGAATGAACTCAAAGTTCACTGCCAAGAGATATAAACTAACTCTCTGTTTAAAACATGAAAACATTAGTATAAAAATACAGCATTTAAGCAGTTAGCTGCTACTCTTCAGGAGGGACAGCAGAGAAATGAGGAAATTTTCCACACCTGCAAAATAAAGGCAATAGTAGTTGTCAGCAGAAGTTACTCATTCCACCTTATTTGATAGTATAAAAGTTTTTGGTGTACTTTTAAAAACAAGCAAATCAGAGATTCACCTTCTGAGTGCAAGACACGGAATTCTACAACGAAGAGACTAATTTTTCTTTTTGTTTTTAAAGATCGGCACCTGAGCAAACAACTGTTGTTTTTATCTCAAAGATTATTCGAAGGCATTCTAGTGGGTATATTTGGGAGGAAGGTGAGAAAGAGGATAGTGATAGGAAAAAAGGTGTAATTCTTTGTATGCAGAAGTTATATATGTAATCTGTGTCACCAATGACAATCTATTCCATTTAAAAAATAAACTAGGTATGAAATGCTAGCTGCTTCTAATGCTGGTTCCTTGTCTTAACAAAGGGAAACACTGATGTGAACACAAGGTACCAGACAACCGCTGTCTCAAGATGACTCAGTTCCACCTTAAATTGCTGGGACACTGAGCTCCATGTTACAGTGGACCTTAATTTGAAGAATTCTTTGGCACGAAAATGAAAATAAAAACAGTAATCAGTACATGCTGTTTCATTTAGTTCTGTTTGCCTTTCATATTAGAGGAAATTCTTGCCACACCTCAAACCAAAATTAAGGGGAAAAGAAAGAAGCCAGCCACATAAATCTGACCAAGAACACAAGCATCTTAATTTGAATCTACAAAGCTTTGGATAATGAAAAGAAATACATAATTTTAATTCAACCCAAGTGTTTTCCAAGCAGATTATATTTGCTTAAATTGCTACAGTAATTCAAAGGACAGCCCTGTCTGGACACACAGTTACTGTGGATTTTTAAGAGACTCGGTTAAAGAATTTAGGAATTTCTGATTCACTTACTGGATTTGCAAATTCATCAACCCCTGAAAACTAAAGCAAACTCAACAGGTATGATGATAAAATAATTTTCAATTTTTTAAGATAGTAGTCCTACTGTTAAACATAAAAAAGTATATTTGATTTGCTTAATATTAAAGTAGATTGCAGCCATCATAAAAGCACAATTTTTGGAAGCAATATCTGGTAAAACATTGATTAGACAAAATATTCAGGGAAAGAAGTAATATAGTGAATTTAATTTTCTAACTTAAGATTTACCCAATAAATAATCTGTTTAGATGTTTTTTACTTTGAATGAAAGATTCTCGGTTAATAGATCATTTTCTGCTTTCTCTCTCTCTCTCTCTCAACTTTAAATGACAAAAAACTGGCAAGCCTTTGAGCCATACATCTGAGCAGTGCTCGAGGTTCTGGGTGTAGAGAAGATGGGTATTTGAACAAATTTCACTAGAAAAAATTTCCTCAAAAATTCTCAAAATTGTCTCACAATTTCTCTACTGGACAAATCCCTAACATTAGAATATTTTTGTTTTCATATGACTCTCAAAGGGACGATACTATCTAGCACCGAAGGATCTAGCTTCTTAGGTTTCAGTTAACTAAGATTTAAATGTTACTATGGCTAAAACTAATTTTGAGACTTTCCTATTTTTAACAGCAAAAGAGTCTCACTTTCTTAGGCGTTGGGTGTAAAGTGATATATACTACTTCAATTTTACAGAGTTAAATTTAAAACTACTTTTGGAAAAATTCTGAACCATATACTAACACTTGGTTTCTTATATTCTAGTTTCTATGGCATATCAATAAAACAATTAAGTCTTTAATAAAATGCTATGAGGCTTTCTTATTACTTTAAACTTTCCAGAACAAAGTTCTACCTCATTTCAATTAACAATTTTAATTAGAACTTTCTTGATGAAGTCACGAGTGCTTTTTTCCAAGTAAGAGAAATGCTATGACACAGGAAGTTTTATAGTTATGATAGGAGAAATACACATTAATGGATAATTTTTAAAACCTGGTAACATATATTTTACTTTGCTATAACGTACTTTGTTCACTTTACTCAAAACTGTTGAAGGACAGTTGTGACTTTAATTCTCAAATGTAAGGCTACAGATTGACGATTGCTAATGTTTTCAACACAAGGATAAAATTCAGAGTTCTGATGAGCAAGGCTCTTTTCAAAGTTCACCAGTGTAACCATCAGCTTCCCAGACCCCTCCTGACGTGGCCTGATACCACGCAGCTGCTTGTCTCTGCCTCTCTGCTTCTACTTCATCCCTCTGGGACACAGAACCTTACAGACCTCAACTCCCTGGTGCAGTGAGACTGAAATGAAGTATGACAAGTACTTGAAAAAGTTAATATGCTATACTATAATGAGTATAATAAAATACTATAAATACATAAAATATTATCAGCCAGTAAGTAAAATGTACAGGGCGTTCTATACCCATTCCTGCTAATCTCCCAACATGTGGACCAAATGATCCCTACCAAGACTTTCCTGTCTCCCACAAGCAGGATTAAGCCACTGCTCCCACAGCACTGGTGCCTCTGCTGTAAGCCATATTTCCCTCTGCCTGAGAATACGATTCGCTGTGTTGTCTCTCTTGTCCACTAAACTGTATGCTCTTTACAGAGGGGACCATGTCTTCCTGTCTTCTTCATTTCTGTGTTGCCACAAACACAGTGCCTCATCCTCAAAAATAATTCAAGACAATGGTTAACTGAAATACCCCAACCAAACTAACTAAATAACTACTAATACTTGTAAGGTGCTTTACTAACCACGTTCACGCATCTAGCACTGGTCACTAGGTTCAGCAGCTAGCGCTCGACACTGCCTATTCTCTCACTTTACTTCCTCCCAGGACTCTCTCCTACGTCACGCATGAACACTGCAGTGTACAGACCATGGATCAATTATATGAATGAACTAAGTTAGGTGTTTGCCCCAGAGTGTGAATTCTTTAGGTCAGAAGTGAGGCCCTCCAGATTGTGTCCAGACTGGCCATTAACAGTCCTCTTTGCTCCTTCTACAGCTCATTACCACTTGCCATCATGCAACTTTTGTTGCCTGTGTGCTTTTGCTCATCTCTTCTATCTGGAAATCTGCTTCCCTCTCTCCTTCTATGAGAATTCTAACATTCCTTCAAAGTCTACTTCAAATGCCATGTCCTTCACAAAGCCCACGGATAAGAAGGAACAATAGATGGGGTCTATTTAGAATTGCAAAAGGAAACTTTATGAGTTTCAAAATCACAGATTGTTTAAAAAGATCAAACCATTGCTATTTTGGCATTTTCTGTAGATAGGAATAAGAATAAATATAATAAAATATATTAGAGTTGGGGCTGGCCTCATGGCGGAGTGGTTAACTTTGCACGCTCTGCTTCGGCGGCCCAGGGTTTCACTGGCTTGGATCCCAGGCACGGACATGGCATCGCTCATCAGGCCATGTGGAGGCGGCATCCCACATGCCACAACTAGAAGAACCCACAACTAAAATATACAACTATGTACTGGGGGGATTTGGGGAGAAAAAGCAGCAAAAAAGGGGAAGATTGGCAACAGTTGTTAGCTCAGGTGCCAATCTTTAAAAAAAAAAAAAAAGAAAATATATTGGAGTAAATAATTTGTTTAATCCTATTTTCTTGGTAAAAAAAAGCAAGCAAGGTCATCATCCAGACCCAATGGGGAATGAGGTTCTAGAGGCTTGTCTGGGAGAGTGGGAAAAGGAATGGACTAAGGAAATGTGGCTGGGCAGTACCTGAGTGGTCGTGAATTAAAGTGAGACCAGTGGGCTTGGTCCTGTTTTTCTCCCGTCACACTCAGCTGCCTGAGTCGGGCAGAGTGACGGAGACAGCAGTTAACAGGGTTGGAGTTTACCAGCAGACTGAGGACATGAGGGGCCAGAAAGTCTGGGCACATGCGAAGGAGTGACACAGTGACGCACTCAGGGTCTAGGCTGGTAAGAAGGAACTGAGTATATTGGGAGGTGTGGAGGCGGGGCGGTGAAAAAACAGGATCAACATATTTTAGGTCCCACTGAGACCAGAGAATGACTGCAGTTGGAGTTACTACACAGAGTAAGTCATAAAGACAGGAGGTAGTGGTCAGAGTATGAAGGGGCTGCAGCGCCACTAAGAACAAGGCCCAAAGTGTGGGTGTACGGAAGGAAGGGTGAGGAGATCGGAGAAAACATCACTGAAGAAAAAAGATCGAGGGCCTCTAACTAGCGGAACAGCTACTTCAAATCCCGAATACACACAGTATTTACATTCTATACAGTTTTAGTTTCTGACAAGAAACAAGCAACTAAGATGTTAGGGTTTAGGGCAGCCTTTCTCAAATGGGGTTCTGTCAGAGAAAGTGATTTAAATACCTATTTTCTCAATTATCCCAATGACGATAATAGCTAGCACCATTCTAGATGAACAGGAGATAAGTCATTTCAATACAGAGAATGATGTGTTAGGACCTTAATTCTCTCATGAAACTCTGGATGAGAAGGGTAGGGAAAAACGGTCTCAGTAAAAGAGGTATCATTCTTTTTTTTAACCTTTTCCTAAATAAGATACTTATTCCATCTGGATGGCCTCCCAATCTGCAAAGCACTTTTACATGCAGATCTCACATGACTCTAACAACTACGAGGTGAGATAAGGAGGCAAGCGTTACAATTCTCACTTTATTGATGAGGCAAGAGGCAGACATGTCAAGTGACTTGACCTTTGTAAGTGACAGGACTGAAATGAAGGCCTTCAGGCTCCTCATCCAGGACACAATCCACCATTCACTACAACTTCAAGTTTCACACAAGTGTTGGTCTGTCCTTCTCAAGCTGAGTGCACCCTCCTTTACAATCCCACCCCACACACCCGCCTACTCACCATATTGCATGTCTGTCTGATTCTCCACTAGACCTAAACTCCTGGGAGATAGTGTGTTTTTAATATCTGTATATCTAGAACTTCACTCAAAAATATTAGTGGAAAGAAGAAAGCTAGGAAGGTAATAGGAAAAATGTATAGAATAACCTATTAGGAACTAAAACTTCATAGAATGTAAATATTGTGTATTTGTTATTCAAGTAGTTATTCAAGTACAGTCAGAGATGAAATAATTGGATTCTAGAAACTGTTTTATGGGGAAAATCTGAAGTCATGATTAGGTTTGGACAAAAAACATTAATAGGAAACATGATAGCTATTTTTAGTATCTCAAGCTCTCACATAAAAGGGAGTGTTTCATGTTCTTCTAAAGGGCAGAAAAGAGCATCAGCAAATAGAAGCTGCAGTGGGAAAATTTTGGTTAATTTTAAGAAAGAACCTCCTAGGTAAAGCTCTCTAAAATCTAGGCTCTCTCTTCTTGTGGGTAGTGACCATCACTGAAGGGACCAAACAGCCAGTGAGAACACCCAGCATTTACAGTAGAGGGAGCACCTGGCTGTGGGGTTGAGAGATGTAACGCTGTCATTGTAAATCTACAGTCTCGTGAGCAAGACACACTGAGATTCTCTTAAAAGATGGTTACTTAGTCTGGTTCAATGCAACATGTGATTTTTTTTTTTTTAATACAACCTTACTGGTACTTAAATATTAGTTTTGGTTTGAGCATTGCCCTTTCATTCTGGACATTCTCTTATATATTTCAATACAGATACAGATATTACAAGTTTTATATAACTGTCAATTTATAAAAGAATTATTCTAAGTTTAACTCACTTTTCTCACAACATATTTCCTTTCTCCCTTGGAATAGGACAAAAACACAACATGGGCTTTTTAAGTCCAGTATGTGTCATTTTCTTCTTTCTTGGAGTCAAAGTATATTGCCAATATGAAAGTTATCAATGGGATGAAGATTATGACCAAGAGCCAGATGAAGTCTACCAACCAGAATTCCAATTTCGTCAAAATGTAGACTACAGAGTGCCTTTTCATCGGCATACTTTAGGCTGTGCCAGTGAATGCTTCTGTCCACCTAACTTTCCATCATCAATGTACTGTGATAATCGCAAACTCAAGTCTATCCCAAATATTCCAGCACACATTCAGCAAGTCTATCTTCAGTTCAATGAAATTGAGGCTGTGACCGCAGATTCACTCATCAATGCAACCCAACTTAAGGAAATCAATCTCAGCCACAACAAAATTAAATCCCAAAAGATTGATCATGGTGTATTTGCTAAGTTGTCAAATCTACTACAACTTCACCTACAGCATAACAATTTAGATGAATTTCCATTTCCTCTTCCTAGGTCTTTGGAAAGACTTCTTCTTGGTTATAATGAGATCTCCAGACTGCAGACAAATGCCATGGATGGGCTAGTAAACTTGACTATGCTTGATCTCTGTCATAATCATGTTGATGATTCTATGTTACAAGAAAGAATCCTTGCCAAAATGGAAAAATTAATGCAACTCAACCTATGTAATAACAGATTAGAATCAATGCCTCTTGGTTTGCCTTCTTCACTTATGTATCTGTCCTTAGAAAATAATTCAATTTCTTCTATACCAGAAAATTACTTCAAAGGACTTCCAAAACTCCATGCTCTAAGAATGTCACACAACAAACTACAAGACATCTCATATAATATTTTTAATCTTTCCAGCCTCATAGAGCTCAATGTTGGACACAACAAACTGAAGCAAGCATTCTATATTCCAAGAAATTTAGAACACCTATACCTAGAAAATAATGAAATTGAAAGTACGTAAATTTTCATTATTTTTTAAAGGTAGAAAGAATAGTATTTTCACCTTTTAAAGAACAAATCTTTAAAAATCTATGCTTTACACATTGCTAAAAATGGTTGCTTTGAGGTTGGCTAGGGAAATGGTAGAAATTGGCCTCAGAGGAAGGTGTGCTATAAACCGTACAGTCTTTTCTATTATCACCTTGAACACTGAGAAATAGTACTACAGAGCATATGAAGAAATATATATATCCCGAGTAGTGAGACTATAGGTGATTTTCAGTTTTTTCTTTTTGAGATTGTTTCTACTAAGAATTTATTACTTAAATAATTTATTACTTAAATAGCGAATGAAGCCATCATTTATTTTAATAATATAAAATTCATTCATAGTTTCATTTTCATTTTATTATTTGACTACTGTAAAAAAATAACTGAACCTAATTCCACTTAAAAGTATTTTAATTACTTAAACTATATCCCAACAATAACATTTCAATAAAGTCCAATATAGGATTATGAATATAATGCAGCAGGATTAATTTTTAACTTGTATTTTTCAGATATCAATCTTACAGTGATGTGTCCATCTGTTGATCCACTACATTACCATCATTTAACATACATCCGTGTGGACCAAAATAAGCTAAAAGAGCCAATAAACTCATACATTTTCCTCTGCTTCCCTCATATACATAGTATTTATTATGGTGAACAAAGAAGCACTAATGGTCCAACAATACAACTGAAGACTCAAGTTTTCAGGAGATTTCAAGATGATGCTGATAGTGAAGATGATGATGATTCTCATGAAGGCCCAGAACAAGAAGGAACAGAAGAAAACACTGACCCTCACTATTATGGAAGTCAAGAATGGCAAGAAATGATATAGGTATACATTTATGAATTCACAAAATATTATTCAATATAAATTTAACTAATCATGCATAGCTCACAGTAATATATCTAGAATTTTGTATTAGTATAAGATCAGATTGAATATAAGTTGTTGGTAATATCTGCATCATCACATAGGATTAAAACTTAGTCAAATGATACCAGTCTTTAAAAATAGAATAAGTGGGAATAAAAAACTAAACTATAAACAAAAATATTATCATGTTGAGAAGAAAAAGTGAGTATGCCATTTCTATTAACAGTTATTTTTCTGAGAATGATGAAAGTAGCAGCATTAGAAGCTAAGAACTGTAAGCCATGTGCTTTAATCACCATGAGGACAGAGTTTAAATGCCACGAGGTTACGCTAATGTAACAGGCAGCCATTCATTTAAGGAGTAAATTATTTTCTTTGACTTGATCTCCAGAAAAGCTTTCACACTTGTATTTGAGATGTCATCACCACGACATCCACCCCCTGGCCCTACCACTTAGATCGATGGATGATATTTTTGATTTTTAAAAGAGGCCAGCCTATTTAAGGGATCCAAAGCACGTAGATTCATAAAATCAACTAGTCTTGTTTTTCTCTCAGAGCAACAAGGCATAAAATTTTAAACCCTGTATCTGAATAACTAAAAAATACCAAGTTATCTCATCACAATCCGTATTCCAGCAAATTTCAGCAGCTGTCCAAAATAGTCTTTTATGTGTTCCATTTTAACTGGGATAAACGTTTTTATAGTAAATTCACTAGAGAAAGGTTGCTTTGTTTTAGTTACATAAACTTTTGCTAATAAGTGCTTTGTTCACAAGGTTAAGTTAACGTTAGCCTAAGAAAGTCTATCAACATTACTAAACACTTCTATTTCTTAGCACAATATATTAAAAACATATATGTATCAGCCAATGTTTGTTTACATAGTGCTAAAGTTGAATAAAGTTCCTTTAAAACGTGACAACAGACAGGCTTTGATACCTTCTTCAAAACCTTAAAAATCACGTATTATTTAATCTATTACTTTGAAGAATTTTAAATATGCCTTATAATGAAGATGACCTAACTGCTGTGATGAACTGTCTTGATTTACCAGGCTAACATCTCACAGGATTCCTCAGATAAGGAATAAACACCAATCTGGGGCTGCCCATACAGGAAACCCAAAGAACGAAACAATTTGGACAATATGAAAAGACAGGACAAGTAAAACTATATTTTAGAAGCAGTTTTCAAGTAGTAAGTTTTTTTGGAGATGACAGTTTAAAACGAAGTGTCGAATGCTCTTTATATCTTTGAGTAGGTTACTAGCATTTAGCAGAAATAGAACACCCCCAGGGACAAGCTCAACAATCCAGAATAAACATGAACAACACTGGTTCATTCATTTAATCTACAGTTATCAAGTCATTTGGTATGTATGGCTTAGCAATGAGAGGTCAAAAAACGCAGCACCTATGTGCACCTGCATCACCATAAGATACAAGTGTGAAGGGAAGGGTTTGAGCAAAATTCTAGTGATGTAGGCAAAGCACACTTTCAACAGAGGTAAAAAAAATTTTAAGGGGGGGCCAGCCCAGTGGTGCAGCGGTTAAGTGCACATGTTCTGCTTCGGCAGCCCAGGGTTCGCCTGTTTGGATCCCGGGTGCGGACATAGCACCACTTGACAGGCCACGCTGTGGCAGGTGTCCCACATATAAAGTAGAGGAAGATGGGCCTGGATGTTAGCTCAAGGCCAGTCTTCCCCAGCAAAAAGAGGAGGATTAGTAGCAGTTAGCTCAGGGCTAATCTTCCTAAAAAAAAAAAAAAATTTTAAGGATTACCTCCCCCTTTATTAACATTAAAAAAAAATTGGGTTATAAATTTAAACATTTATTAAGAGCTAACGTGGAAAATACTGTGGGTGTTCTAGGAGATAAGAAGGATAAGACTAGTTCTTACCTAGAACAATTTAAAATTTAATGAGGAGCCATTAGGGAAACGCAAATCAAAATCACGATGAGATACCCCTTCACGCTCACAGGACGGGTATCATCAAAAAGACAAGAAACAAGTGTTAGTGTGAGGTGGAGAAAGTGGAACCTTCACATACCACTGGTGGGGACATCAAATGGTGCAGCTGCTTTGGAAAGCAGTCTTGGCAGTTCTTCCAAAAGTTAGAGTTACCTATGATCCAGCAGTCTCACTCCTAAGTATACACCTAAGAGAGCTGAACACATGTTGACACAAAAACAAGTAAACACACGCTCAGAGCAGCATTTATCCATTAACAGCCAAAAAGTGGAAAGCACCCAAATGCCCATCAGCTGATGAATGGGTAAAAAAAATGTGGTCTAGCCATACAATGGAATATTATTCAGCCAAAAGAAGGAACCAAGTACTGATACATGCTACAACATGGAAGAACCATGGAGATATCATCATGCCAGAGAAAAGTCAGTCATAGAAGACCACATATTATATGATTCCATTCATGTGAAATATCCAGAACAGACAAATCTATAGACACAGAAAGACTATTGGCTGCCTGGGTTTGTGGGGGCAGAGGAATGGAGGGAAAGTGGGGAGTGACTGATTATGAGTAGAGGGTTTCTTTTTGAAGTGATAAAAATATTCTAAAATTGATTGTTGGTGATGGTTGTACAAGTTTGAAAACACTAAAAACTACTGAACTGTACAACTTTAGAAGAATGAATTGTGTAAGATACGAATTATTTCAAAAAAGCTGTTATTAAAAGATTTAATGAAGTAAGAGCAAACAACTCACTCTAACACAAGGAAGAAAAGAAAGAAAAGCTAAAGTGGCAGTAACTATGAAAGACGATGTGAATTACTCCACTTCCGGCCAGGACATGGTGAAGCAGTTGAAGGCTTCAAGGAAGAGGTGGTATCTTGATGTGTGAGTAGGAACTGACTGGCAAGAGCGGAGAAAACAAGCTTCCAAGGTGAGATTAATATAAAGGTGTGGTAATTACTTATTTCACCTCTTGTAAAGTTTAAAAACAGAAATCCTCCAAATTTCAGAATTCTGAAGGTTCTATTTTTATCTTCTCCTAAATTGATAACTTTTGTCTGACACAGCAAGGAAGGCGAGAGGATGGCACAAAAATACCACCCTCCTGTACACAGGGATGCTAGGAGTTGGAATCAACTGGATGGAACTAACAACAAAAAAAAACTGGTTAAAGAAAATACATTTATTTAGCAATTCAAAACAAGGAATTTGTGCACCTAGGTAGAAGCCTGACTTCACACTTCTGACTAACCTAGGTGACTGTGAGTAAATGACAACTTCTGGAAGCTTGCCTTTCTGCATTTCTGCAAGGAAGGTGGTTCTCACAGGGTTGTGAAATGGTGTACATAACAGCACTTTAAAAAGTACCTGCCAGTTACAGGTATCCAACAAGCAGTAACTACTACTTCAGCATGCCCAGCCCAGCAGCCTGCTGGATCTCTGTGTCCCAGACGTCAGGCGTGCTTCATACACTTCAGTGTTCTCTCAGGGCCCCCAGAACAGAGTCAGCATCTCTTCAGGTTCCTTCCAAGATGCTACTCGTAGCAAAGATCAGTGCCAAGAGAGACTTTACTCAGTTTCGTTAGGGAGAGAGCAGAGGGTGCTTAAACCATATACTCACGACAAACATACTCCAAGTCACGATTTGATAGTCTGGATCTCCAAAGCACCTCTGGACTGTGTACCAGGGAGGGGAGCAGGGTTTCTCCCACCCCTCACAAGGCACTCAGCTGCCTGGCTCCTCTGGCCAGAATAAGGTCAAACTCTCCTGTGTATTAGGAAGAAGAGGTCAAATCTACTCCGGCTCCTCCCTCCAAAGGTGTGCATATGTCAACATGTAGCAGAATGTCCTCCAGCTGCAGGGCCCAGTGAGGAGGCAGGTTAACAACCATGTTTTGTTATTTGAAAATGCTCTGAGGAACTTATACCCACTCCAAGTATTTCTCATTAAAAATAAAAGAAATAATCCCCAATGCTTTCCTCAAGAGAAACTGAAGAATAAAGTACTCTTCCAATTAGTACATCAAGATTGCAGTTACCCTCCAGATCTACAGACAAAATCAGTTGATTTGATATTTATAAAAGGAAAAAAACCCATGAAAATTCACCTCTTTTCTCATTACACTTCTGGGTATTAGTTACATTAGCTACTTGGCTGACCCGTGTTTGTAACCACTAACAAATAAATCCAAATCACACCATGAACTGAAGCTTAATTAACAAACAAAAGCAGAGCATACACTTAGCTTATAGAACAGAAACAAAAATAAAGGATATTTCATAAATTTGCTCACAATAACACTGGTTGAGCATGTTTAGGTAGTGTTTAAATATTACCTAAAACACCATACATTTTCCCTTTACTCCTCAAGCTACAACCACTAAACTAAAATGCAGGGGTATGCATATCATATAACACACTGAACCAACTCCACGGGAAAAAGAGAAGAAACGAACCTTGTCTCCTCTGTACATTTTCACTGCTGCAAAGAATTCATGTGACCCCAAGGACGGCTAGAACCAAAACCGCAGTTTCCTGATATCAAATCTATCTCTTCTAAATCTTGGAAATAAAGTACAAGAGCAGCTGGAAACAAAATTAAATCATAACAGGTAAAATGCCAAGTTTCTTATATGTTCCAATTTTCTAAATAGGTAAATAAATAAACACTTTTTGGTTTTCTCTGGATCCATTACAGTGCAGGACTCTGCAAGGCAGCTAGCAATTTATTGGCGGGGGTGGGGCGGGGGGGGGATTCTAGTCTCCCAAGTCTTGCAGCAGGTTGAAGTCGCCCTTTTCTTCACTTTCTATTGTTGTTTTCCATTTTCTTTCTTTCCTTTTTAAATTGCTTTTAGTTACATTTAGGCAAGACAGCCAAATACTCTGGGTCATCAGACCAAAGGGGCTTGTCTTTCTCTCACAAGGAGACAGTGCCAGCCTCTGATGGACACAACTGCATGCCAAACACCAAGGAGCCTGTTTTCCACACACCATCAGGTTAGTTCTCACAACTGCCCCACCCCCCCACTTACAGTAGAGGAAACGGAGGCTCTGAGAAGGTAGGCATTTTACTCAAAGTCACACAGCTGGGAAGCGAGGAATTACGCCGAGCAGGTAAATATCAGTTATCACGGACATGTCTGTTATTACTTTACATGTTTAGGCTGCGAATTCACTATATGGAGATTTATGTACTACTCAAAAAATTCAACTCACAAATACAATACATTTTTAACTTGAACCCTTCCTTATATTGAGTCCTAATTCCGCTCCCTTTAAATTTCACTGTTTTGTCTGGGAAGTACTTGAGTTCTCATCTTTATCCCATTTGAGCACATGACTGGGCTTTAGGCATAAGCATGAGATTTGAGATGGAGATTCAAACCACAGACTTTCCATAAAATCATAGAATGTTGGATTTAAAAGGGTCTATAAATATCTGGTAACTCAGTGATTCTCAGTGGGGGTGATTTTGCCCTGCAGGGGACATCTGACAATGTCTTGAGACAATTTTGGTTGTCATGACGGGTGGGGATTAGGAGTGGAGGAGTGTTACTGGCATCTAGTGGGCAAAGGGCAGGGATGCTGCTAAACGTCCTACAATGCGCAGGATAGCCCCACCACAAAGAATTATCCGGTCCAAACTTCTAATACTGCTGAGGTTGAGAAACTGCAGGAACTAGATTCTAGTCCAACAGATAAAGAAACTGAGGCACACAGAAGTTAACTTGCCCAACATCAGGGGAAGGTTAAGGACAGAGCAAAACTAGTGCTTAAGTGTTCTCACTCCTAAATTACACTACTTCCTATAAAGTTAGAGACGGAGATGAAGATGCAGGACAGACTCTTCTGGCTTGTGGGGTTTTGGTTTTCTGAAAGCCAATCCACTGGTAGTTACATGTTCTCTATCAGTAGAACTAAGCCACCTCCAAAAAAATACCCCTCCTAGAAAA